CCTCTCTCCCGTACCTCAGAGTAAGACGGGCTCATCACGAAATCTTGCGCAAGAGAAGGGGAGAGCACGAGGGAGGATCGCAGCGCGCGGATCGCGGTCACGGCATCTGCTTTGTGGAGATGGAAAGAGGCAGAGCCGAGGCAGAGAGCAAGCCGCTCCCAGCCCCAGCCCCCTGCTGCTGCTGCTGCCGCTCGCACTCACCCCGCTCCGCCAAGCTTTGAATTGCTCCCTAGCATGCTCGACGACGATTGAGGTCTACAGTGGGGAGGCTCGAGGCTCACTCAGCGGAGAGGTGCAAACCATATCCCTCGGTTGGACTACAAAGCAACTCTTTTCCCAAATTTCAGTATAAGGACGAGGGGTGGGGTTATGACCGCCCGCCTATTTATGGACCTAGTATCTTGGCATCTTGCCTTCGCACTGTAGTTGCTCGGTCCTCAGAAACTAAGTTTGCGAAGCATTTTTGCAGTTCTGTACACGCAGAAAAGGCGGCTCTTGTAACAAAAAACGTTTAAGCGGAATCAATCTGTTGCAAAAACCGGCATTTTGGGTGCAATGCACAGGTTTTTATTCCTAAGTATTACAAAGCATTTGCAATAAGAGCTTTCTAATTTTATGAGCCCCAATTAAAGCGAATGATTACATGCTGCAATGCAAATTCTTTGTAATGAAAAGCAAATGCTTTGTATTACAAAAAGCTTCAAAATGTTTTGCGAGCTATACAGAGCAAAACTGTTTTGTATTACAAAGTATTGCGTTTTAAGGTTTTGACAGTGCGAGGCATGGTGCCCGAGTGACTGAGGGCCAGAGTTTGCTACCGAGAGCAACCCCCCACCCCCTGCCCAACCCGGCCAGGGCGCACCCTGTTTGAACTCCCAGGGGTCCTTGTTTGACTTCGTTGATTGGTTGGGAGCGGTGTGTACCGATCACTCGAGGACCAGACGACTCCACGGGGCGGGACCCGCGCGGCTCGGGTCGGCAGGTCGCCATGCCGAGGGAGGCGCAAAGAACGGGGTCGGGCGCGTGGGTTGGCGGGGGCTCTCAACAAAGTCTTGAGTCGTGACGACAACCCCTTCCGCCACGGAAGGCCCGAGATTGGCGTCGGCAGCATCCGGTTGGCCCAAGAGAGGCATTTCGTCTTCAGGCCTCCTGGCGAGGGGACGACGTGCGTTCTATACTTCTTTTATATTCATACGATCAGGTTTTCTTGTGTGTGTGTGTTTTAATAGAACGCTTCTACCGGGTTTCCACGAATTCATACAGAGGGATAGGACGCCATTTTTGTTAAACATGAAAAAGGTGCTTTTTTCTTGTGTGGTTTTGACCAGTACCAGTGTTTGGAGCTTCTAAACTGTTTTGTTCAAATTGGTAACACACACACACACACACACACACACGAGATGTTCAAGTGTAAAAATAATACACGCCCGTCAATCGAACGTGCAGGCGTTTTCTTTTTTCCTCTCTACTCTCACCTTTTACCTGCCCGCCCGCGTATTGTTGTTGTTGTTGGAGCAGCGCCACCCTCACCGACCGAGTGAAAAGACTGAGAGAGAAAAACTCGCATTCGGCAGGAGAGGGGTGGGAGCAGTCAGCCCTCGGGGCGTATAGGCGATGGGGAGAGAGCTCTCATGGGGAGAGAGAGAGAGAGAGAGAGAGAGAGAGAGAGAGAGAGA